GAATCCAAGACTTCGACTTTGTGCTTGCCACTGTGTCTGCGTCCAACCCTCAGTCCGAGTCCGTCGTGTCGAGTGAGTGAGTGTGTGTGTGTGCTCTCACTCTCTCCCTCTCTCTCTCCTCTCCCTCGGCTCACCCTCAGCCTCACTCCCGTTACATCCAGCCTCCAAATATAATATAGAGTCTAATAGACAGAGGAAGATGAAGAAAATAGACAAAGGAAGAAGAAGAAATAAGAATGGAAGAAGAAAAAGAAGAACTCCAGCAAAGACCAGTGCCAATCCCTCTTCATCTTGCCACCATCTCCAACCTCTAAAGAGAAGTAGAGTCAAGAAGAAGAAATAAGAATGACGGAAGAAAAAGAAGCTGAACACCAGCAAAGACCAGTGTCAATCCGCCTTCATCTTGCCACCATCTCCAACCTCCAATTACTCCCACAACTTCTTGTCAATAACAATAATGATAAGAATGAAAGAATGAACCAGAACCAATGTCCGAATCCTCCCCTTACTGCCAGCCGCTCAAGAGGTCAACCATAAACAGGTGACTCTGGCGGACTATCAGAGTCGAGCTCCGTTGTTCTAAGGACAGCGCAAAGCTACTGTGTCCTTCCTACTATGGGCGCCGAGCCTAGCACTACCCTGAAGCCTTCCTTGTAGGTGACAAGCCCCGCTGGGACCATCCAGGTGCGGCGCCAACCAAGAAGATGAAGATGCAGAACACCATAGCCAGGTAAGCACCCCCGCCACTCTCGTCCTTGCTCATCGTCTTCCTCCTCCTGCTCCCCAGAGTTTCCTCTTTGGTCGTCTCCAGCACAGCCAAGGTTGAGGGCCAAGACCGCCTTATTCCTCCCCAACGCTCCTCAACTGAGCACTCGCTCCGCCAGCGTGACGACCAAACTCCACACTGTGACCAGTCTACGGCCTCTTCGGGTGGTGACCTCCCAGGCTGCACGGCGTCCCCAAGTGAGTGGTACCTCCAATGTTTCGGAGGGAAACATTATTGCAGTCTGATATCCCTCCTGCAGGCTCCAGACTCAGGCTAATTGGACCGGTACCTTCCCTTCAGAGCCTACCTGACTCTAAATTCACTTCCGCCCCTAAAGGTACTATTTTTTTGTCGTCATCTGCCTACTTGCCCGCTACTTGAGTGTTTTCCAACCCTCATGGGCCAAGTGTACTTCTTTTTTTTCTTTTTTCTTTTATTAAACAGGTCCTTATGGTCCTGGCTCCATATCCATTCTGGGGAGCGTCAGTCCTGTTCCTATCCCCCCGGCAAGTCAAAAACGGGTTACATCCTGTGTTAGTCCCCGGGCGGCCCGGCTGGGGGAAGGTCGCCCGGGTACCCCGGACTGGGCAGGGCCCGGGCAGGGTCCCGGGCGATCCCAGCGCATAATATTTAAAAAAAAAAAAAAAAAAAAAAAATATGTCGTGTAAAATTGCAATACAAACGACTTTTTGGCTGAGGGCCACCTCAAAATTCCTTGTTAATTTCAAGATAAGAAAACAATGGGAAAACATGAGTCCCAAAAGACTCCAAATGTGCCCTTTTAAGCCCTTTAGTCACTGTTTATACCCCCCAACCCCCTCTGGATGACCCATCACCAAAAGCAAAGTTAAGACCGGATTCTGACTGCTTGGGCCAAGCCCAGTCCTGGCCTGAAGTTTTTTTTTTTTTTTTTGGGATCCTTGCCTCTTTTTTGACCCGTCTGGTTTTGCTGGGCGACCCCCCCTCTGCCCAACTGGCCAGGGCGTGCCTGGCCGGGCATGCCCGGCGGGGCGACGGCCCAACATAGGTTACATCATATTACCCACTCAACGCTTCCTTCCGTCTGGCCTAAGGACCCCTGATCAGCATTGATTGCTCCTTCTAAGGAGGATTGACTGTCAGCTCGCCCTGACCATTTGTTCCTCTCTGGCTTCTATTTATAGCCTGTCGAATGAGTCCCTGTAATACGAGAACAGTGGGGGGGTCCGCTCTGCGTTCTGTTGCTTGTCCTTGTCTTTCCCTGTGTGTCCGGTCCTCTTTTTGTTGATCACCATTCAGAACCTTCTGCCTGGTGTCCCGGCATGTATCCTCGTGGTCTTCATGCTTTTGCATGGTGCCATTTCTTCCATCTCAGTTCCTTATGAAAGTCTATTGTCTACTATCGTTGCATGTATTGTTGCCACCTTGCGTTTTAGCAGCCAGTTCCTTATGAAAGTCTATTGTCTACTATCGTTGCCACCTTGCCTTTTAGCAGCCAGTTCCTTATGAAAGTCCGTTTCTTGGTTGCTCGTCTTTCTGGTCTGTGTCTCGTAGAGTTTGCTATTCTCCGCCATATGCTCCTGATTTCCGTCTCTGCCATGCTCAGCAGTAGTGACCACGTTTCTTCTCTTGCCACCTCTGTTCCCTCGATTGTCTGAGTGCATCTGCGTTTCCATATCACCCACAGTGCCAGCTTCCTGAGTAGGGTGAACCATGCTTCCTTGCTGCCTGTGATGTTGCTGGGGATGTTAGTTAGAAGTAGGATAGAGATAGGGGTGATGTTTGGGGGGAGGGCAGCGAACAGGAGCGACCATAGCTCGCGGATCTTCTTCCATATCCAGATTGCTTCAGGGCAGAAGAGGAGGCAGTGGGGGATGTCTTCGGGTGAGTCGTTGCTGCACATTGAGCAGCATGCCGAGCTATCAGGATCAGAATGTTTCCTTCTCTCGTGTAACCATTGGTTGACTTGCAGGGCTGCATGTGCCATTAGCCATTGCATACTTCGGCTGAGACCGTTAGGGGCCTCTAATCAGCCGTTGTCGTGGTCCCTTCAGTATCAGCTCCAATTCCTTGGGTCCGTCTAATGCCGTCGTTTGCCCTTCTCTCTACGGTGGATCCCAGGCTGTATCCTCCCATGCTGCCCTCGGGTGCTGGGGTGGTACCGGTCTCGTCACAGCCCGGGGATATCTTGTCGTTCAGCCCGTTGTCGTTGCCGTACTCCCTCATGTGCCTATCCTCATCCTCCCGTTCCAGGTACAGCGGTTCAGCTTCGTCTTGTAGGGAGCGTTCCGTGGATAGGATGTGGGATCTGATGATAGTGGCCAGGGAATCGGCCCTGACCTCCGCCGGGCACATCTTGCCTGCGAGTGTGCTGTATTGCAAGGCGGTCACAGTGTTGAATGCTCTTCACACCAGCCCCTCGTGCAGCATGTCTTTTTTTTCTAATTTTACAAGGAATGGTTCAAAAGATCTAGAGTTCCTGGTCGATCTCGTCTGAGTCTTCCCAGAGGGGGGCGGGGATTCCGTAGACACCTAGGGGGGAGTCTTCAGATATGCCTTCCCTGATTGTTCTTGCCAGTGTTCAATGGTCACCCGCGGTCGGGAAGGCGAAGGATACGTCTGTGGCTACCTGCCACTCCCCAAACTTTTTTCTGTACCGGATAGGGACCAAGGGTCTCACCGGCTTGATCGTTTTGCGATCTGAGGTAGCTTTCTCAGTGCCATGGGGTGCCTTGTTGTCTGCCACGTTTTGGATGGTGCAGTACTCTTTTCTGTGGCTTTTTAGGTATTTCGCGTTCTGATCAAACAGGAACTTTGTCTGAGCAGTGACGATGGCGATCTCCTGTTTGAGGGATTGCTGCTCGTTGCCATTTCCTATTGTCTCTGTTGTGGACTTTCTGGGTCTCTTGACCCTGGGCTTCCACTTCTTTGGTACCATGTCTCTGATTGGGTCCTTGTGGACCTGAGTTTCTTCACTGGAACCGGACTCCGAGCTCGAGTTGTCTCTTTCCCTCTTTTTCTCATGATATCTGAAGGCGCTGGATTCTGACAACTCACTCTGTTCTCTCAGGATGTCGTAGGTGTTCGTGGATGTGTGGATGCCTGCTACCGGGCCTTTGCTGCTCCGGCCTGTCTTCTCCTGATGCTTCATGCATGCCATTCTGATGTCGAATTGTTTCTCCCTCTCGTTTTTGGCTCTTTCCAGATATTTCTGCAGCCAGGCGATGGGGGAGTCTCCCTGTTCTTTTGGTTTGCCTACTCTGTCGCTCTTGGAGAGAGATATGTCCATTCCTTTGTGAGTACAGTCCTGATCTGTTGTTGGGCTGGGGTCCCAATCATTCGGCGCTGCCTGTGT